GGTGCATTGCCCACAAGATCCTGTTGTCAGCAGCCTATCTTCCAGGGACTCAGAATGTGACTGCAGGCTTTCTCAGCAGAAAGTTTATGGCCGACCACAAATGGGAACTTCATGACACTGTAGTCAATGATATTTTCAGCCAATGAGGGACTCTTTGCCTCCCATGCCAACAGCAAGTGCACCATCTACTGCTCCATGGGAAGGGGTATCAGTGTCCATTCCCAAGGCGATGCCTTCGTCCTCCACTGGTTGGACCAGATCAATTACACCTTTCCCCATCTCCCGCTCCTGCAATGAGACCTCTACAAGATCAGGCAGGAGAAGGCCATGGTCATTCTGGTTGCCCTTTTCTGGCCATTCCAATTCTGGTTTCCTCAGCTTCTTTGCATGTTGGCTAGTCCCCTGTGGCCCCTGCCAGCTTTTCTGGAACTCCTCATGCAACATGGCAGCAGGATCAGGCATCCCAATCTATACACACTTCACCTGAGAGCTTGGTTTTTGGATGGGCATTTTTGCTAGAATGGGTATGTTCATTGGAGTACAAGACATCCTTGCCTTGAAGACGTTGGGACTTGCTCTGAACTCCATCAAGGTCCATACAACGGCTATCAGTTCCTTCCATCCCCCCATCCTCCCAATGGAAGGCCACTCCATATTTACGCATCCATTGACTGTCAGATTTTGGAATGGTCTCCTCAGAACCTTCCCACCCTTCTAACCTATTGCTCTTGAGTGGCACCTCAATCTCGTTTTCTCTATGTTAATGAAATCATCTTTTGAGCCACTGGCTTCCTGCTCCCTGTCCCACCTTTCCACGAAAGTTGCCTTCCTAGTAGCTATTATTTCCATGAGAAGGGTAACTGGGGGCCATGATGGCAGACTCCTCCTCTCACCATATTCCATAAGGACAAAGTCTCCCTGCATCTGCACCCCAAGTTTCTACCAAAGGTTGTATCCTGATTTCATCTCCACCAACCCATACACTTGCTTTCTTTCTGAAGCCTCATGTCTCAATGGAGAAGTGGTGCCTTCACTCTGCAGGGCCTTGGCCTTTTACCTGCAGAGAACAAGATTGATCAGGAAATCCCCTAGACTGTTTGTTGCTATAGTTGAAAGGATTAAGGGGTAGGCAATCTCCACACAGAGGATCTGTAAGTGGATTTTGTGATGCATTACACTTTGCTATCAGTTGTTGGGACTTCCTCCACTCCTTGGGGTGAGAGCCCATTAGACGAGAGCACAAGCATCGACTACAGCTACTCTGCAAAATATACTGCTTCCAGATATATGTAGGGCAATCATGTGGAGTTTGGTACTTACCTTCGCTAAGCATTATGTCTTGGTGCAAGACTCTGTGACGGATGCCTCATTTGGCATGGCTGTTCTCCAATCCACCATTCCATCCTCTTCCTCGTACCCTCCTCCAAATTAGGTACTGCTTGTTAATCACTCACAGTGGAATACAATAGGGACCATCACTCAAAGAAGAAGAGGAGGTTACTTACCTGTAACTGGAGGTTCTTCGAGATGCGGGGTCCCTATTTGTATTCCACTTCCCGCCCTCCTTCCCCTTTGCTGCAGATCTGTTCAATTTGCAGTGGAAAAGGAACTGGAGGTGCACCCTGGTCTGCCTCTCCTTTTATCACTACCGTCAAAACCATGAGGCAAAACAAGGGTGTATGTGCAGATCAACAGACACTACTACTTTCAAATTCTCTGGCTCTGGATGCATGGCGCACATGTGGAAACCCTCAGTGGAACACAGATAAGTAAACTCCTCTTCCTGACTAGTGTAAGCTCCCATTTGCAGTTCTCTAGTGTTGGGAGATGTAGATTTTAAAGTCATTACATTGTTCTACATAATAGCTATTATAGGTCCAGGATTGAATTGGCTGCCTATCCCTGCCCTTGGGCAGGTGTAATTCTTTGATGAAATTCAGTATTTGCAGAGCGGAGGAGGAAATGTTCTCGTGACAGGGTTCTGCTTTTAAAAGAGGGAGGGAAGGAAGGAAGAAGGGAAAAGGCGATTCAAAGGTGATCCGAGTTTTGCAATTTAAGAATAATTTTCATGGACACAGATCAATAGGCAGAGAGCAGGTTAGGCAGTGAAAGGTAAATGATAAATCATCATGTTAAATGGATATCACTTTTTCTCATGGGTAGGGTTGCCAGTTTTGGTTGGACATATTCCTGGAGGTTTCATGCGGGTATGTTTTTATACAAATGTAGCCCTCAATCCGGCAAATGCTTTAGTGGGAATATTCCCATTTCTAATATTACTCACATCCATAGGTATTTGCAGGAGTGGGGCCATAGTGTGTGCATTGGATTGCCAGTATTCCAGTGCCCACATATGTCTATCACCCTTTGTCATAGGCAGCAGGTGGCCAGGGCTAGAGCAGGGTCAGCCCTCACCTCCCAAATCTATTTTTGAGCCACTCTGCTTCCTACATGCCTGTCCACCTTGGCCCGTGAAGGGTGTCGTGGGGAGGGGCCCTGCCTGCCTGCTGGATTCCTGGTACTGTATGTGGAGCTAGATTCCTGAGTCCCAGCAGGGGATGCTGGCTCATGAGCAGTGCTTCTCGAGAAAGTTCATTGCAGAGAGTGAGTCCTAGGGGAAGGGGGGGGAAGGGGAGAATGGGAGTCCTGGGGAAAGAGGAGAAGAGATTTGGGTGAAGGAGGGCGATCCTAAGGCCCTGTGTCTGGAGTGTCGTGGGGAAAAAGTCCTTGCCTGTGCACGGATGAGAACCCGCCTTTCTGTATTTATATTCCCTAAAATTTGCCATTTGCCACAGGCTATGTGATTTGAGCCATGGGAACTGGGATAGGGTGGGGGAATCTTGAACTTGTAGAAAGTTGGCACAGGTGTAATTGTGCTTCTGTGTGCTATCAGATGTATTTGATAAAGTTCACTGGTTTTATAGATCTTTCTTTATATGAAGGCAAATTGCCAATACAAACTAAAGGAAATGTATATGAGGAAGATAAACCTCACTACTGCTGTGCATTGAAATGGTTCAGTACTCAACCTTCACAGAGCAAGCATAAAACAATAGGCTTACTAGCCCAGCTGTCAGAAGTACATTTAGAGTCAAGATTGATTAAAATTCTCCTGATTAGGTAAAACCAACTAAGTGAAGAGCATAGCATGAGCTATTTAATGAAAGAATGGAAGAATAATTGTTTGCATTCAGAACAAAATAAAAAGCAACTGAGTTGGTGCAGTCCCACCAAAATGTTCAAAGCATCATGCAGGGATTCAGGGCCGAATTAAGTGTTTAGCCCTTATGGGTTTGATGCAAACATTCAAAATTGTTCTGAGATTAAACACATGTCATGCTGCCTGTCTAAGGGGTGCAGGGATTGAGGTGGAGGCATAAAGGCAACTTTCTGTCACCCCTGTCCTGGGGCCTGTTGGGAGCCAGTTTGCCCCGGCACTAGTTAGAGCAGCCTGAGGGTCAGACATAATTTTAGGGGTGCACCAGTGGCCATTCATGTCCTTACCCCTTATGTGTCTCTGTTCTACTAGGGTATGTGCAGGAGGGAGGGCGAAGGGGGTGCTGTATCTGAACGACCTCTACTGCTGCAGAATCCCACCCTGCCCTTTTAGGGCAGCTTAGTTCCCTTTGTGCAACCAGAGTGACCCATATGGTATGTTGTGTGAGTGGGGACTGCCCTCTGTATTTGTAAAAATAGGCATAATGGAAAAGAACTGGCTATTTAAATGGATCATAATTAGGATTAATTAATCTCCCCTCCTAGGTGTTCTAAATGTACACACTGGTGCTATCATTTGAGAGCTAGGGGAGAGAACCAAGTTTTAGCCCCAATGTATCTTGACCATTTGATTTGATCATTTAAACAGAAAACCTTTTTCTAATGTGGCTGTTTTTAGGGGAAGTGCATCTTTATAGGAAATTTATTTAAATGGGAATTTACTTTGAGGACCTTTAATACACCTGCACTTTTTCATTTATCCAGGAGTGGTGGTATGGCTCTATTAATGAATGACTGCATGGCAGCGTTTGATTTCTTCTCTTGTGTGGTGCATTGAAACTGGAGCAGAAAACTTCAAATTTAATGTAGAGTGAGGACTTTTTTAGCTTTGTCAGTGAAGCAAAGAAGGAACTAGTCACTTTTCTCAATGGCTCTCTCAGAGGAAAGGAACTGAAAAACTTCCCTCTCTTGAGACGGATAATATGTTAACCTAGTAGCAAGAACTGACACAGAGGAATGAGCCACGTGATTTATAATGTACAGGGTAGGAAAAGAACATAAGTGGTGTTTCTGCCATGGGACCTTCTTCAGGCTTTGATTTAAAATAAAAGCAAATAATGCAGAACACTCAGAACTTTTGGGGGACTGTTGCTCTCTCAACAAATGTTGGTTCAAACAATTAGTTCTAGGAAGGATCAAATGAGGACAAAATAAGACAGATGACATGTTGTTCTGGGGTCACCATCCTGTTTTTTTTCCATTGTTGGTTCTGATTTCTATGGGATAATCCCATTCTCTGCAAATCTATCTTGTAAAATATTAAAGGGTCCTTAAATAGACTTCAGCACCCATGAAACATCACTGCATCATGACATCAACTTACAACATTGTGATGCAATGTTATGTTGATTTATGCCTTGCCAGCAGGAAAGTATCACTCATGACACAAACACTTATCCCATCGGTTAAATGTTGGGGTTCTTAGGAATTGGCTTGTTTTGGCCTTGTTTTGAAATGGGATTAGCTTGATTTTTGGCTTATTGTGAAAGTCGGGGTGTTTATTTACCGTGTGAAAGTTGGCAACTGTGATTAGCATGGCACTCACTAGTGAATAGTAGGGCAATAGAGTTCAAATCTGTTACGGTATATATATTATCAGCCTAGATACATACCCTATGTTCTTTTCTTTTATTATCAATAATATTAAAGGCATATTATATCTGAGCTGACTCTTTCCCTTTGTACCGAATAATGATCACAAAGCCACTGTTTGGTTCTTTCAGATGCTTTTCTTGATCTGTTTGTGAACAATTTGGGCTCCAGTACAAGGAAGACCTGGGGCATCCGCAGGAAACAGTCCTGGGGATACACTGTAAGTGTGGTGCAAAAACAGTTTCTCAAATATCTGTTAAAATATCCTAAAAATAAACACACATTAAAAAAATATATATGTTCACAAAAGTTAGTAAGGCCTAGTGCACAAAACAAAACCTTCTGCCACTTGTTGGTTGCAGGCCAAGAGTCTGTTTGAAGTAGTTCTTCCCTGACGCACAGGAATGGGAAGAAAGTCTCAGGCCCCTCTCCCTTTCCCCTCAGTGTGCCACATGTGCACTGCGTGTAGCGTCTGGCCTGGAGTTGACTTGATGGCACTTTGACTCTCCCCACCCCATGGACTTGGGTTGACTGGAGGATTCAGGAATCAGCTCTCCTTTCCCATCCCTGCTCTGTCTTCAAAGGTCTGCTAGACATTTGTTTGCAGTGGTCCCCTAAGGGCTGCCCAACGTCCATCCCAATCCCAACCCCACCCTTCTCCATCCAGAATGTCACCATCCCACTGAATCTGGGGTCCTCAACATCCATGCAGAGGGGCACAGGGTTTGCTCCATAATGCACATGTAAATGCCTGCACAGGTATTTCCCCTGCACTAGCTCACACAGGGGAGAGGACTTAACACCTGTGAATGCAGGGGATAGAATTTACTAGAACTGGCTAAAAAAAGAAAAGTAGCATGAGTTGTTTGTGAAAATGTCTGCAAAAAATGTGTCCCTGTTTTTCAAAGAAAAACATTGAGTTGTGAAATTATTTCAACCAACACTAGAATTTACATGCACAAGCCGAGGAGACAAATAGAGTTTCACACTGAAGACCTATCACCTGTACATGCAGTTGCTTGAAAAGTATGAACACAAGCTGAATGTGTACAAAAAAGGTGGGGCTGATATGATGATTGGACCCTGTACTGCAAGAGGCCAAGTTTAAGTGCACCAGGGTAAAGGAATGAAAGAATGCTGCTATTGGTTCGCCCTCTAATTTGTGGTTATGATGACAGCTTGCTTTGGCTTTTCTTTGAAAAATACATTTTTTAAAGATAAATCAGATTGTAAAAACCTATGCAGTTAAATACCATGCCAGTCAGAAGTATGCTTATGAAAAAACAAGGACCAACAATTTAGACCAGATCCTGCATTGCTGTATATTGGCATAGCTCCATAGATGTCAGTAGTTCTACACCAATTTAGGCCAGCTGGGATCTGGGCCTCTGAGCTGAGATTTTACATTGCTGATGTAAAGAATGATATCTGAAATTGCGTCTTGCCTGGTCTACAGATATTTTAATTTTGTCAAACTCATGTTATAAGCAAGATATGAAAGTATTTTTCCATGAACACTAGGGGGGTAGTTCTTCACTGCAATAAAAGACCCTGTGGCACAGCCATGACTGGCCCAGGTCAGCAGACTTGGGCTCGGGCTGTGGGATTATGAAATAGCAGTGTCGATGTTCAGGCTCAGGCTGGAGCCTGGGCTCTGAGTTCCCATGAGAGGGAGGGTGTCAGGCTCTGTCTACACTGGAATAAAAAACCCACGGCTGGCCTGGGTCAGCTGACTCAGGCTCGTGGGGCTTGGGCTCTGGGGCTGAAAAATTGCTGAATATCTACACAGCAGTTTTTAAGCCTTGTGAGACTGAATCAGCTGACCTGGGCTAGGTGCAGCCATGTTGTGGGGCTTTTATCCCCTTGTAGACATACCCTTGGGCCTGGGTTCAGCCCAAGTCTGAATGTCTTCACTGCTATTTTTAGACTTGCAGCCTGAGCGCCCATGAGCCCAAGTCAGCTGACGTGGGGTTTGAGACTCAGTGCCTCAGGTTTTGTTTCACAGTGTAGACATACCCTTATAAGCCGTTTCTAAAACTGATTGCCTGGGGGAACTCATCGTGTAGCTGAATAACATAGCATAACAAAATTACTACCGTACTGATTGTAGAAATGTAGCTGTCCTGTACAAAATGCTAACCAGTAGAAGGCAGCAGCTGCTCAGCTTTGAATTGCTCATAATGTTTAGGAATGTATGCTTACCTGCACTAGCAGTCTGGATCCAAGCACTGAACTGTCAAGGTTTCAAATATAGGACTCCAGTGCTTCACATTCTCAGTTCTTTATGGTTCCTCTGTCATAATTGTATGTTTCTTCTCTTCTAGGCACAAGTATTTTAGATTTCCCTGTTCAGTAATAGTCAGCATGCTACTATTCTATCACATGTTGGCATTAGCTTCTCTTCAGATCTTCATCCTCTCAGAGAATTGGGCTCTAGCCAAGAACATCAACTTCTATAATGTGAGACCTCCACAAGACCGTAAGTAGCCAGTTTTGGCTTTCTTGTATTTGAGAATATAGGTTAATATTTCAGCTACCACCTTTTCCATTGTTATCCCTCATTTTCAGGGCTCTCTCTTAAACATAAAGCGTCTATCTCTTAGACATTTGGGATCTCCTCTAGAGTTTAAAACAAAACATTCATTTGGGTGCCTCCTATGGTTGCTCAGTATCATTCCTAACATTTAAGATACAGTCTGAATGAAGTTGAACAGAGAGGGAGAGAAGTGTTTTCTTTGATTTGTACTTTGATAATAAACAGTTTCAGATTTTGGATGCTTTTGCCCTTTTATGTCTCAAAATAACTTTATTTTGTACAATGTAAATGTATGCAATGGACTATCCATTTCTGTTTGTTGTACTGCTTTTGTGTGGGTGGGGTAGGGAGGTACGTGTATTGAACACTTTTAAAGTTAGCACTAAGTGAAAGTATGAAAGTTAGTACAAAGTTAAAACCACTGTCGTAGCTGGGAAATCAGCTGTCAGTAATAGCATCATATGTCTGCTTCTTACCTTGCACTCCGATTACTCTCCCTGTGCACCCAACTGGATAAGAGTATCTGTGATATAAAGGATTAAAGTGGAAAAGTAGTGATGTTTAGCAGTTGGGGTGTTTGATGCCAAACTGCTTTAAAACTCCTGTATGTGTGTATATAAAATGTTATAAAAACAGAATTTGAAATCAAACGCACTAATCCCTAATTGGCAACTGCTTGTTCAGAGTTGGGGGCAGTGACTTGGAGCTGGTTTCAAAGCAGTATCTGCCACATCTAGGGAAGCAAAAGCTGATTAAATGTAGATTGTGCAACAGTGTACATGTGTGCATATATGCAGAGGAGATATGCGTATCTTGTATGTTATAATACTGTATATGTAATGTGCAATGATACACTCTCCATTTAAACAGCATTTTGATTGTGAGAGAGAATGAAAAGACTGGGAAATGTTTTAAAGTTAAGGCATGATGATGTCAGTACAAGAAGTAAAAGCTTCTATGGTAAGATATGAAATAGTTCTTAATTTACCCAATAGATTGACATGAACTGTATGTGCTATTCTTATAAACATGTGTATAAATGTGTGAATATGTGTAAATATAAACATTAGCATATATATAAGTATTTTTGTCTAATAAATGTAAAAGCAAGCATTTTTTGTTTGACATTTTAATTTTTGATATTTGCAAACTTAACATACTTATTGTATTTTTAAAGCCACTCCATTTCCAAACAGCTTTAAGTGTTTCACCTGTGCAAATGCAGCTGACAATTACAACTGTAACAGATGGGCTGAAGATAAATGGTGCCCTGAAAGTAAGTGTGCCTGTCTTAGGGAGATTCTTTAAGGTATTTAATTTTGTTTTTCCCCTTCTTCAACCGTCTCTCAGACAGCTAGTTATATAGGATTAACATACCATCATACTGATGCCCTGGGGATAGAATTAGTAATCATGAGCCTTATGATTTCTCTTGAAATGGATATTCCAGCCATTTGAATACGCTAAGCAATATTGCAAATCATGTTGAAGACCTTGTATGTTTAGACTTACACTAGAACCTCAGAGTTATGAACACCTGAGGAATGGAGGTTGTTCGTAACTCTGAAATGTTCATAACTCTGAACAAAACATTACGGTTGTTCTTTCAAAAGTTTTACAACTGAACATTGATTTAATACAGCTTTGAAACTTTACTACGCAGAAGAAAAATGCTGCTTTCCCTTTATTTTTTTCATAGTTTACGTTTAACACAGTACTGTATTTGCCTTTTTTTTACTTTTTGTCTCTGCTACTGCTTGATTGCACACTTCCGATTCCAAATGAGGTGTGTGGTTGACCAGTCAGTTTGTAACTCTGGTGTTCGTAACTCTGAGATTCTACTGTAGTACATATTTGAATGAGTATTGTGTAGAGTATCTTTTTATAGAATAAGGAAGCTGCTCACTAGAGTATGTATAACTAGAAATTCGTTAATGTAACTCTACCATTTTTATGGGTTGGCAAGCTTGTGCTAAGGATTTTAGAGGAATTTTTGAATACTGTAGTCTTAAAGCATAGTCACATTTCTGGGTGGATGGACGCCTTGTAGTGATGTGTGTGCAGTGAGTGGAGAATATAGGATTTGAGATTAAGTATACAGCTGAATTCAGCCCTGTATACATTCTAGATTCAAAATGAATGATCAAAGCACAGCCTTAGCTGAGACTTCCATTTAATTACTTAAGATAGCTAGTCCAAAGCTGACTGTGAAAAGTTACGAACATATCTCGCTAAACTGGGTGACTGGGTGACACAGCAGCAGATGAATTTCAGTGGTTAATAAGTGCAAAGTGGTACAGACTAGAAAAAACAATCCAACAATACATATGTGCTGAAACTAGGGGAGCTGCTGCCCTGGCTTGAAGTGGTTTCACACAACCCAAAATCAACCTGTAGAACTCGTTGCCAGGGGATGTTGTGAAGGCCAAAAGTATAACTGTATTCAACAAAGTATTAGGTGAGTTTGTGGAGGATAGGTCCATCAATGTCCATTAGCCAAAATGGTCAGGGACATAACCACATGCCCTGGGTATCCCTAAATGTTTGACTGCCAGAAGCTGTGACCGGTGATGGGATGGATCACTCGATAATTGCCCTGTTCTGTTCATTCCCTCTGAAGTATCTGGCACTGGCCACTGTTGGAAGACAAGGTACTGGGCTAGATGGACTATTGGTCTTGACCCAGTATGGCCATTCTTATGTTATCCTCCCTCTTCGTAGTTCTATGCCAGATTAATCTAATATATATCGTAAATCTCTATAAACAGACTCTGGATTCCTGTTTTCCAATCCTTTTTTTCCTATTTTCCTTGTGCTTGTGAAGAAACAAATAGTTTTATTAGGTTGTCTTTATACTTCTAATGTAATATTGGTCTTGTTTGCATTTCCTCTGAACTTAGCGGTTAACTTATCCAACATTGATACATGGTGGGAAAACAATTTGCACTGTCAAATTATATTCCCCTCGCCAAAGCCAGCTATTACTTTAGTACTGTCTCCAAGAGTCAGCTGTTCAAGGGCAAAGACTATTTCTTAATTCAGTCCCGCAGTCAAAGCTAAATGTGCTGCCAAATCTACCATCATTCCTAGTGTCTTTTGCAAAATTAACATAGGACCTGATACAATTACTTCTAATATTTAGTGCAGTTTTGTTAATTAGGGATGACTTCATAAAAAACAGGTTTCAGAGTAACAGCCATGTTAGTCTGTATTCGCAAAAAGAAAAGGAGTACTTGTGGCACCTTAGAGACTAACCAATTTATTTGAGCATAAGCTTTCGTGAGCTACCGATAAAGCTGATGAAGTGAGCTGTAGCTCACAAAAGCTTATGCTCAAATAAATTGGTTAGTCTCTAAGGTGCTACAAGTACTCCTTTTCTTTTTATAAAAGACAGCTATATAAAAGGCCTAATGCAAGGTTTATGCTAAACTGTAGGCGTACATCATTGCTGCATGTGATTTCAGATGTGTTGTATGTGAACTCTCAAAATGGAAAGTGTCATGTTAGTGCATCCATTGGTAGTGCAGACACATTTAGCAATAAGGCCTGAAGATCACACTTGGAAGGGAGAATAGCAGGGTCACTGAAACTAGGGAAGGTAACATACCCTGAAGAGAGGGAAAAGGAGGAAAGATGTTGGAAGAAGGGGAGCTGGGGGCTAGGGGAGAGGTAGGGTGGAAGTGGGAAATGAAAAAGGTAAAGAAGTCTAGGTGGAGGGGAAAGGGAATGAGAAGTGAATGCAAGAGGGAAAGGAAGAACCAGGAGAGAAGCCGCTAAAACTAGCTAGCTAGAGATGAAGTGTTAGATAGATAGTACAAATCTCAATGCCCTTTTTCATAAGTTGCAGCCTAGGGGCCAAATGGCACATTTAATTTAAGGTCTACCTAATACATCATGACTGTTAAATGACAATTTTTTGGGACTATAATGCTATTTTACTGCTCTAAACCCCACACAATCTCTAAGTTTTCTAAGTGCAAGCACTTTATTGTAACTTGTCATTTAGTGAAAACTTTTGAAGTATGTGAAAGAACTCACACTGTATGAAAATAAACCTGATTTTGATGTATTTCTTAGATACAAAGTACTGCTTGACAGTTCATCATTTCACAAGCCATGGAAGGAGTACATCTGTGACCAAAAAATGTGCTACCAGGGATGAATGCCGTTTTGTTGGCTGTCACCCACGCAGAGAGACAGGCCGTACAGTAAGCATCAGTTTTTGTAATGGTGAATGTTTTTTTTAAGACATTCTAAATAAGGGTCCAGTTCAGCACTTGTTACTCAAATAACTACTGCTGGAGTGAATAACACCTGCCAAATGAGACTATCTAATGTTTGTCAGGGCTGGGTCATGGGCAGCCGGACCTTGTGGTCAGAGCTGCAGTTCACAGTCAGGAGCCAAGGGTCAGCTGGGTCAAGATACCGGGAGATCAGAGGCAGAAGACAAACTGGAGATCAGAACCACAGGTCAGATGCCATGAGCCAAGCCAGGTCAGGGCACCAGGAAGTCAAGCCAGGTGAGCTGGTGCAGGAGGCACAAGGTATACAGTCCTGAGCATGGTGGATCCCAATTGTTTGGAGAGCGTCCTGTTGCTGGTTTAAGTAGGTTGGCTACCCTGACATGTCAGGGGTGGAGCCTCAAACTGGGGCTAGGCGTCCGGGGTCAGCAGTTGTCAGCAGGCTGCCAAGTGGAAGGCTGAAGTGTGGCTTCTCCTGTAAACCCTGTGGATCATGAAAATGTTTTAGTAATAGAAGTCAAAGTTCTAGAACAGGACTCAGATTAGTACCTCTCCCTATTTTTCTATGAAGAAGTTAAGCTGCAGTTGCGATGGAGGGTCAAATTTTTGAGTCAAACTTAGCTCTATAACACCATTTGCTATGGTGATTATAACATCAAGCTGCCTTATAGAGGATCCGAGTTCCAATTCAGACTTGGCCATTCCTTTTCTAGGTGGCAATTGGCTGTCTTGCTCATAAAAGGAGTAGTTTTCCTTTGGAGAGGATGCACCTCTTGTAGCTCTATAGTGACCTGTCTGGCTGGAGGCAGCCATGTTCAGCTTTATTCAGTCAGAAGGATAATTTCCCCAGTGTAAGTCATGGAAACAAAACAACACTAGCTTTAGGCTTGGAACTTGCTATATTTCTTTGGGCAGCAGTGTCGAAAAAGTACTGCCACATTAAGGGGCCTGGTCTCAGGTCAGGATTTCCCCCCAAAGTCAAGGGGCTGGTTCTTTTGTCATATTAGCGGGGGAGGGGGGGAGACAGAGAGAGAGAGAATTTAGGGTGTTTTTGCCCCTCATTTTTATAGTTCAGTCACCCTTTGAAATACATTTTCCTGAGGGTTACCCCTAGATAAAGTTCATTGCAGCTGTGAGAACAGAGACATGGAATCTCGTGGTGAAAGAGGTTCCATGTTGTTGTTTGCTAAAATGCAGATCAATCTGTTCCTCGCCCCCTTCACTACCAAAGAATGGCCACTTGACCAGTGATTGCCAATCAACTTTGACATCTGGCTAAAGGCGTCAGCTTGTCGTTTGCCTTTGAGAAACCAGTTTACTCCCTCCCAATACTTGTCCAGTATACAGTATACTTGTCCAGTATACACACTGTAGTCATAATTTCACCTTATGTTCATAACTGTTAATATGCATGTTGTACATAGGTTACACAAGAATATTGATCTGTTTATTAGTTTTTAAATTATATCTTACAAGGCATATTTTGCACAAAGATTAATACAATAATGTGTAGGGTGTGAATAGAGAAGTACTTTTGGTCACAACCATTTGTAAGTGGAGAAAAATGTACTACAACATTTGTTGATATGTTTGATTAACGAGATACCAGACTTTAAAACCATGTCATTCTTATTACTACATTGCTTTTGTCCCATTTCAGTTATGATCTAATTTTAGCATCTGGTAAATTACAAATAGCTAAAATTACAGATTATTACTTTATATAGATGGTATAAACCATTGACTTCTAGTCCAATCCACTGTGAAAATGAATATCTTTATTTTTAAAAATATAGAGTACAGTATAATGTTGAAGAGTTGTGTATTAGTGTGTTATACATACTGACTGACGTAAGCAACCTTTGCTATAACTCTTGCTTCTGAAAAGGAAGTACAGCAAATGTTCCAGGTAAAATGGTTAGAATGTTTTATATCCTATATAATACAGAACTGGAAGGATATTTTTGAAATCAGTGTCATAGTAAAATCTTTTAGCAGGATTTGAATGATCTTAGTGTGTAAGATTTCAGATATCTTGAAGATAGCAGACAATCTGTATGTTAAATATGAAAGGACATGTATATGCTGCCTTTGATCTGAGCACAGACTCCCATTGATGTCAATGAGTGTTGATGGATTGAGGGAAGTATATGGCCTTTAGAAGCTCCAGCCTGTCTTATGCTGCATTTTATCTTGTAAAATATACTAATGTTCCTTTGCATACAGTGCAAACTGCTGTGTGGAAATGGGTACACTCTGCATCTTCACATGCTCCAATAAGGAAATCAGTTTCAATATTTCCCCAAATAAACTACTAGTGAAGAAGATGATGAACATTAACAGTTGTTCTCTAGCACTGGAAATTTGACAGGAGATGCAAATGTAAAGATCAAAATACGAGATAATGCTGCATAAAAGCTTATGAGGGAAATTAAACATGATCATAGTCTATTTTCATTAAAAATGTGTGACAAGAAAACATTCAAAACCATGTTTGTGCTTAATAAATAGGAAGGTGATAATTATGGGATGTTTTCCCTACTTTCTTATATGTTGGGAAATCTGTCAGACATAGTTAACGGTTAACTATCATCAGATCATGGTAACAGGATTCCATTAATTACAATGCATGATAATGAGCCGTGAGAACACTACTGTGCATGGTTTTGCAGATATAACTGATAGTCCAACTCAGCTCACAGGATACCAGACAAAAGATATTAGTATTGCTGGTTGGGAATTTTCTGGCAAAATGTTTTTGTTTTGTTTTATTTTGTTTTTGGCTAAACTTTGATTTTGTGAAAACTGAAACTATTTGTGGGAAAGGGTCAGTTACAACAAATCTGAATTCCTAATTTTTTTTTGGGGGGGTGGGAATTGAAATTGTTGAAAGGACTTTTCATTTCAAAATACTAGTTAATTTATAGTTTTATTTTTAAAAAGGTCAAAATCTAAATGAAACATTTTGATTGATCCCATTCCAAAAATTCTTTTGGATTTTAGGTTCACAAATTTTTTTGAGTTGTTGACTTTTTGTAAGATTCAGGGTGGGGAAAAAATTTCAAAATCTGAAACTCTTGTGGGACAGGAAAATGGTTTCCTGCCCAGCAATAGTGATTAGCTTTTTTTTTTTTTTTTAGTAATAGCTAGGGCTGTTGATTAATCGTAGTTAACTCATGTGATTAACTCAAAAAAATTAATCATGATTTAAAAAAATAATCACAATTAATCATGTTTTTATTCGCTTTGTTAAGCAATAGAATACCAAGTGAAATGTATTAAATATTTTTGGATGTTTTTCTATATTTTCAAATATATTGATTTAAATTACAACACAGAATACAAAGTTTACAGTGTTCCCTTTATATTATTATTTTTGATTACTAATATTTGCACTCTAAAATGATAAAGTATTTTTCAATTCACCTCATACAAGTACTGTAGAGCAATCTCTTTCTTGTGAAAGTGCAACTTACAAATGTAGATTTTTTTTGTTACATAACTGCACTCAAAAACAAAACAGTGTAAAACTTTAGAGCCTACAAGTCCACTCAGTCCTACTTCTTGTTCAGCCAATCGCAAAGACAGACAAGCTTATTTACATTTACGGGACATAATGCTGCCTGCTTATTATTTACAATATCACCTGAAAGTGAGAACATGCATTCGCATTGCACTTTTGTAGCCGGCATTGCAAGGTATTTACATGCCAGATATGCTAAACATTCGTATGCCCCTTCACGCTTCGGTCACCATTCCAGAGGACATGCATCAATGCCGATGACACTCATTAAAAAAATAATGTGTTAATTACATTTGTGACTGAACTCTTTGGGGAGAATTGTATGTCTCCTGCTCTGTTTTACCTGAATTCTGCCATATAGCAGTCTCGGTTGATGACCCAGCACATGTTGTTTGTTTTAAGAATACTTTAACCGCAGATTTGACAAAACGCAAAGAAGGTATCAATGTGAGATTTCTAAAGATAGCTACAGCACTCGACTCAAGGTTTAAGAATTTGAAGTGCCTTCCAAAATCTGAGAGTGATGAAGGTGTGGAGCATGCTTTCAGAAGTCTTAAAAGAGCAACACTCCAATGTGGAAACTACAGACCCTGAACCACCAAAAGAGAAAATGAACCTTCTGCTGGTGGCATCTGACTCAGATGATGAAAATGAACATGTGTCAGTCCACACTGCTTTGGATCATTATCGAGCAGAACCCGTCATCAGCATGGATGCATATCCTATGGAACAGTGGTTGAAGCATGAAGGGACATATGAATCTTTAGGGCATTGGCCTGTAAATACCTTGTGACGCTGGCTACAACAGTTTCATGTGAACGCCTGTTCTCACTTTCAGGTAACATTGTAAACAAGAAGCAGGCAACATTATCTCCTGCAAATGTAAACAAACTTGTTTGTCTGAGCGATTGGCTGAACAAGAAGTAGGACTGAGTGGCCTTGTAGGCTATAAAGTTTTACATTGTTTTATTTTTGAATGCAGGTTTTTTTTACATAATTCTATGTTTGTAAATTCAACTTTCATGATAAAGAGATTACACTGCAGTACTTGAAATGGGGAAATTGAAAAATAATATTTCTTTTGTTTTTACAGTGAAAATATTTATAAACAAAAATAAATATAAACTGAGCACTATACACTTTGTATTCTGTGTTGTAAATGAAATCAATATTTTTGAAAATGTAGAAAACATCCAAAATATTTAAATAAATGCTATTCTATTGTTTAATGGCGTGATTAATCATGATTAATTGCGATTAATTTTTTTAATTGCTTGACAGCCCTAGTAATAACCCTTGCAATTGAAAGCATATACACTATAAACTTCTGTTGCAGCCACTCCTGCCTACCAATCTCCTTTTTATTAACAGGAATGCATTTCTTGCTGTGAAGGGATGATCTGCAATGTAGAAATACCAACCAATCGCACAAATGCAGTATTTTCAGTAATGCATGCTCCGAGGACATCAGATGGCAGCAGGAGGACAATTAGTATTCCAGTACTTGCATCAGTCATAACAATTATGTTGTTATGATGCAGCTTTCCATGTGCCAAATGTGATTCAGAGGGATAAACTTTCTGGGCTCAGCTATAAGAAGAACATTTCAGTTTGAAGAAAGACTCCGGCCCCCTTCAGATGATAGAAGATGGTAGGAAAACATGGACATGCACATCATGAAGTTTGTTGATCATTTATTGAAAATTCTTGGAAAGAGTCTGAAGTATTTAAAAACAAACAAACTGGTGACCAGACACTATAGTAGACTTTAACCAGTTATCTGAATTCTTCATTTGGTGGTGGAAGCGTGTGTACACTCTGCACATTACTTGAACAAGGAAACTGGTTGTCTGTAGGCAGTCAATTTACCAGGTGAGATAAAGGGATACTTCTAGATGCAAAAGCTGTGCCAAGCTTATCTCAAGAGAAGCCACTTTTTTCATAACTTTGAGTATTGACTTGTAGTGTTGTAGTCTCTTGTCTGCCTTATTGATGAGAAAATGTTATGTTTAAGTTCATCCTTTACAGTTCTCCATGAACACCATGTTCATTGAGAACAAGGTGTCTAAGAAATAGACAAAAGTGCTTTTTTTATTCAGTTTTGGTCAGAACTTCGATGTCCTATGGAAAAACTGAAAAATATTTAATTTTTTTTTTCTCTCCTACAAAAACATTGTGACCCCTCCTCAGATTATAAAATGATGAATCCACCAAAAAATAAATAAAATCCTAACAAAAGATGACCAACTGCTTAGGCTCCTATGAGTCTCTATTTAGGCATGTAACTAAAGCAGTCTGAAAGAGTGCTGAGTACCTGTATCTCCCATTGTCTTTGATAGGATTTGTGGGTGATCAGTTCTTCCAGATACCTCACCACTTTTATTTAGGAGCCTAACGTTAGGCACCCAGCTTTGAAAAGTATGGCTTAAGTTTCTAAAAATAATGTTGCCAATCTTACCCTTTTTTCCCACAGTTGTAGTAGATTTTTTTTAAAGCCTGGTTTATTGCATATTTTGACTAATGTTGCACATCTGACCAGTTGGAAAAATTAAAAATGGTAGAATTTAGGTTACTGTTGCATGTTACAAAAAAATCTTTGTTTTCCTTTGTAAGCCTTGCAATGAACAACGTGTGTGTCATATTTATGTGTATTCTCATCCCTCTGGTTCAAGGGCTGGATACTTTCAGATTCACTGTCTCTCTCTTTCACATGAAGAAGTCAATTCTGAAGACTGATAGAGAATGATTTCACTTACTTTGTCAGTATTCGGTCTGATTTACAACATATGCCAATGTTGACTATTTTTGACTATTTTTGTTGTTAATATTTTGGCTCAGATTCTCTGTGCTTGCAAACACCCTGATCCTGTGTACCAGCATACGTCAGCCCTGTCCTGAGCACAACCTCAAGGCTCCCAGGACTCTCTGGGACCTGTGCTGATGGTTATGGATGGAAGGAAGTTTCAACCATGCCTCCTTTTTTGCCCAAGCTTGTGCCCAGAGTCTTTACTTACTGGATCCACCATCCCCTTTGCACTGCAGCATGGTCATGAGTCTGACCCATACAGTTTGAACGGAGCACTGTGTTGCATTTTTTGTTTCAGAATTTTTTTTTTAGTACTTTATTTGTGAATTCACAGATGTAACCACTAATAAGTTAGACTCTTTATTGAAAAGCTAAGATGATGAGAAATCAAAAGTTTTCTGTGTCATCAGAATTGGTTGAAAAATTGAGGGGGGAAAAAGTTGTGAAAATTTTGTCCAAATATTTTTGTAGGATTTGTAATTGAAATTTTCAGTGCAACATAAAGATTTAATCAAAAATTGAATCTCTGAAAAATGTTGAACAACTCTGTAGTTTCAACCTGTGTGTGTCAAATCTTTTTTATTTCTCTCTAACTTGTTTAAGTACACTTAGCTATTTTAATTTTAACTGGCAATTGGAAAAACTTTACTGATGTTTTCAAAATTGATGATGATCTACACCAACATATATCCAGAGAAGTTCTTAGAATGGTGACCCTTTTTCTTCTATTTTTCCTGTATGCAAATATGTGACATGTCTAAAATCTATCGCCACAATCTGATGAAGAGGCACTTACAAAAAATAATTAGAGTTGTAATAAGTTACAAATGGAAAAGATCATTCACTCCCTTCGCTTGCCAGTGCAGGGTTCTTTCCTGTCATCTAAATCTAACTATTTCAAGCAATGGATTTTTGACATCTTCTTATGGAAGACTGACTATTCCAAAGTCCAGTAGATCAAGCTATAAGGAAGAATTTCCTAGTATTGAGCAAAATGTTTCTTTCTTTAAAGGTAATGTCTTTAATGCTTCTTTAATTGTTTTATCAGTCTAGCAGGTAATGACAGCTGTAGCTGAGATCACAGAACACTTTCCATTATTAGTTCCTGGTTTTAGGTTTCTGCAACATTCTCTTTTGGGCTGACATTTTCTGGACTTGGTTCTCTGCCCGAAGGTGAATTCTTCAATAAAATTAAAGCAAAATCTTTTCAATGGTTTTCTGAATTATGAAAGCATGTAAAAATACACTTTCCTGACTTCTGCCTCTTCACCTGCATACTCCTACCCCGGCAGCCCTCCAGGCTCGAGGTGCTCCCTCAAATTCTGTTCCTTGGAATGATTTGTGCAGTTGAAAATGACAATATAAAGCTTAACAAGGCTTGTGGCCTTAGATGAGTTTACTGTAAATAGTTTAAAAAGATCTAAAACTTTAGATTTGTTTATTTTGCAAATAAGATTCCAAACTACACAACTTGGGAGCAGAGCTAGGATCTTGAAGTACTGGCCAGAAGGTAGGCCATGCTGATGCTACTTTAAGATTTTCTTGAACTGATGAGATTATCTCCTGTGCATGCACAGGTGAGGAATGCAACTGACAATAATAAGAGGCAGTAGTTCCTCATTGGCAGTCTGGTGCTTCTTAAATCGGCACATTTGCAGGCTGCTAATGACATTGATAGGCTCTAGTTGGCCTTGGTTAATTGGTGCCTGTTAGTTATAGAACTGTTTGGTTTTTTTCCCTATTAAGAAACTCTAGGAAATAAATGCAAAAAAATGTCAATTCAACATGAGGGTTGCACAATTAAGCACTCGGCTCAGAAGATGTGAAAGTTAAGATTGATTGTGCATCATTGCCTTTGCCGTTTTGCACATACATAAAACCTCTATATTTGTGATTGTATTTTATCTTGGACGTACTTGTGAATCTAAGTTCATAGAAAAAGACTGTGTTCTAGTGTGTTAGAGAAATAGGATGTGATTACATAATTTAAGACTGCATCACGATGGGATATAGGGGTTTCATATTAAAGCTTAGCTTTCACATTTTTTGACTTTATAAGGCTTGCATGTGGAATCATGTTATATTAATGTAACATTTTTACATTTAAGAAATAGGTTAAAATATGGGCTACGTTCTACCCGCAGTTATCAATGTGCAAGTCCTGTTAATTTCAGTGGGAGCATCTGGGGGCACCATTTGACTCTAGGAGTATGATTTTCAGTAGCTAGGCATTGCATGTACTTAAACACACATGAATGTTCTCCTACCAAACAGGCATTAAATGTTATTGCACTGCCATCTGTGATGGGCTAAATGTCTTTGGATGCAGCAAGCAATCATTAAAATCAATGGGAGCCATACTCAAGTGCATCCCAGGACAGAATGATCCCTTTGTATTCTGCTTTGAAATAAAATTAAATATATGTTGTGAAATCCAATCCATGGAGTTATACCAGCGTTGAATTTGGCCCTTGACTGCTATGAAGATTAAGATATCATGACCACAAAATGGTTATTCCAAGATTATAACAAATAGGACCCAAAAAGGGTATTGCTCTTGTCTTTGAAGTAATTTGTACAGTTGAGTGGCAAACAGCTTTATTTAAATATTGCATTTTTACATTGTACTAGGGACAGTCTAGAGTCGATTGTTTTTTCCAAAGTTTGAATGTATTTGTAACAAAACATCTTCAACTATTCAATGTTTGTGTCTGTATCAGTGTTTCTTATCTCTCAGTGTTCCTGTTTTAAGTCTCCTTTGAAAAACTGGCACTTTTGATTAAAGGTATTAAAATATTAGTTGGTGGAGAATATTTATATATTGAAATAGCCTAGAAGAAAGAACTGAATTTTGCTACTTAAAAAAAATTAAATAGTGTGGGCCAGAGACTGTCACTCTTCCTAGCACTTTGACTCCAGGAGGAGTCATTCCAGTCCGTTGATTCCAGTGCACTTATGTATTACTCAATTTGGTAAGTAAGAGTGGCAGATTTTGGTATTGTGGGGTTTATTGATCTAGAATTTGAGGTTAGATGTAATGCTTATACTCTTCTTGTTTATTGCTGTTACCCCTTCTTCCGATGGCAATGCCCAGCTTCTGACACTACTATTGTCCCTCTGCTGATTGGTAGCAGAGTTCTTGGCTTTGAAGGTCAGCGTCTCAGTGGAGGAAAAGTCTCCAGTTGGGCACAAAGAAAAACCGCGGAACATGCAAATAGTGATCACCTGTGAAAAGTTTGACTTTCCCAGCATCACAAAGGAAATCTGTGGCTGAGGCAGGGATAGAATCCAGTCTAGCATTCAACTGTTTTACACACAAGACTATCCTTTCTTTTTCTGCAATCCCCTATCTCAGTTGCATAGCTTCCAGCTTCTGTAACTAATGAGACAGGGTCCTATGGACAGCAGCCTCCTTCACAATACAACTCTGTGCCCTGAATGAGACAGGGATCCTGTGGAAGGAATAGTATTTTGTCATGTATTCAAAGACTGCATGCTTTTAATGAGGAGACTGAATAAGGGCTGCTTATATCTGGCATTTCCTAATTTTTGAGTGCTTGATTTTGCAATCTTAATATTCTTTTAATTCAATTATTATTAATAATATAACTTGCTATTTAAAAAAAACCCTGACAAAACCAGACGTTGAATCATATGGAACCATATTGACTCCTCAACTGGTGGCCAACAAGGTTGCAATTCATCTGGTCAAACTTTTGTGACAGAAATTTTACGTCAGAAAATGCTGAATTCAATGAAATCTAAACATTCTATGCGGACGTGTCTATTCCATCAAAACTTTTAACAGAATACAGGCAGGTTGGTCTGGCTTCCTGCCATCCCTCCTGGCTCCCTGGCAGCCTACCTGCTAGGCTGCCTAGCACCCCAGCATCCTGCCTGATGGGTTGCCTGGCTCCACATCCGGCTGCCTGCCCAGGTACCTGGGATACTGGGACCCTGGCTTCCGAGGATGCCTGGCTTGCAAGTTCCCTGGGCTGGTGAGCTTCTTAGGCTGTCCAGTTGCCTGCATGCCAGGCTGCCTGGCCAGTATGCAGGGAGCTGGCAGCCTGCCTACCAGGTGGAGAGCCAGGCTGTGCCTGCCTGTCTCCTAGGCAGGCAGCTGGTGCTTGGCAAGCCCAGGCAACCAAGGTGCTGGCAAGTCCAGGCAGCTGGTGAGCTGGGCAGTCACACCCACCTGCCAGGGGGACAGCTGGAGAGCCAGCAAGCCCAGGCAGCAGGAACATTTTAGTCCCATGAAAAATTTTGAGGTTTTGAATTATTGTCGCAGTTCAGGCCAATTTTTTTCTCCCCCAGAACTCGCTGTTTTTTTAGTGGTATGGAGATTTTGTTTCCTGGCCAGCTCTAGTTGAGCCTTTAAGATCCACAGTGTTGACCACTACCAAACCGTGCTGCCTGTAATGAAAAGAAAAGTTGTATGTGTTTAGATTTTCAGGGGAATATCTCCATTCATTTTGGGCTTTCTCATATGGGCTGAGCAGTTCCTGCAGTATTTTGAGCACCCTTAGCTCACACGAACTGCCAGTGGTAGGAATTGACCCTCCGCTCCCGGCAGCCATTAGGTGTATGTGTAGTGCCTTTTCAAGCATATTATGAAACTGACAAAAGGAGGTTTATGACATGAATTGTCACATGCTCTGGTGTTGTGACCTGGGGGCACCAACCATGCACAACAATGTTTTCTGGCCCCACACTCCAACCCCAATCCCAGCCTGGTGCAGAGGGCAGGCCCTGGCGGGGGTGAAAACAGAGCAAGCTGTGGGCTATGTTGCAGTGCCACTCCAATTTGGTCCAACTGCCCCTCCACTATGATGGAGAGGCAGCCAGGCCTCTCCATGCACAAGGTCTCCATACCCAGAAAAGGGAGCTGGGCCCAGCACCGCGGAACAAGAGTCGCTGCTACTGGGAGAGTGTGGGACAGGTTTGCCCTCCCCCACCCACTCCAGAGCTTCCCCTTTGCATCAGGCTAGGATTAGGATTGTGGTGCTGGGGCAGAGGGTGCTGCTATGGATGGTCAGTGCACCCTCATCAGAAGGAGGAGGATTGCATCTAGGGCTTACATTCTTATAGAGTATTTCCTGGAGTGCCCCCCTCCCCTATCCCCTGCAGTGTGCTATACAAACTCCTCCAGAGGTTTTGAAAATAGCTTGGCTGAATTTAAGCCCTGATTGAATCCATTGAATATGGAGGCTACATCCACCACTGCTTAGCAAGTCTGTGTTAGTTTTAGTGGTTATAATACACAGGCATGACAACGTGTGAAATTAGCAAGCCAATAGGTATAATTGAAAGTAGCACCACCAATGACCCATTGCCCCTCCTGGTTGCAAAACCTGGTTTTGCAACTGCAGAAGTGGACCAAGATGAAGTTGTTTTCGGGAGTGGGCTTGCTTTTCTAAGTGGAAAAAAGAATAAGACCATTTCCCTGACCCTCCATGTACCATAATAGATGCTTTGTGGGGTGTGCTTACTATACTAACTTAGCACCAGTGGAAACGTAGGGTGGAATCCTGGTCCCAGTGAAGTCAGTGGGGGTTTTGCCATCTCAGACTGTGGTCATCATTCCTTGTAAGTAAGTTTGGGCCTGGTGAATATGTGGGTGGAGGATGGAAAGGGGAATGAACATACTTATTGTATGTATACTCATTGTCCTGGACTGCTGAACTTCCATTACAATTTGGCATGGTTGCTTTAAAATTTAGTATCAGTGGAAAGTATTCTGTTAGAAAGCTCCAATTATCAAAAGTAGGAAAACACTCTGAAGATGTTCAGTGTTTTGAATGATGGAATATATTTGTGCAAGGATAAAAGCTACGGTACTGCAGGAAAAGGTTTAAAGGTCACATCACAGTGTTCCTTTGTTTTCCTTTGCTTTGGCCTTTTACTGCTGCTTATTAGTTTTTAAACCACCTCCCCTTATGTTGTGCCACTATAAACAGAAGAAAGAGTGATGTGATGCTATTCTGAAGTGACAATCCTATGGTAGAGTTGAATGTATTTACTTTGGAATGAGGTACAAATTAGGAGGTGGGGATAGAACCACTCATTTCAGTAATATGAAAACAAAATGAATATAGTGTTTGGTTAGTACAGTGTAGCAGTTCTGAAACTTCCATTTGAACTAAACAAAAGTTCTGTTTGGCTTTTGTAAACACATTATTCTTGCATTTGTTTTTCCTCTTTTAGTTTCCATTGTACAGGTTGTGTTGTCTGACCTGTCCCACTGTGTTCCTACAGAAGTGTTACACTTGACTACATTATACCAATGTTTGTGTTTAACGTGATTTTTCATCCTCTATTTCTCATCCCTATTGAGCTTTCCTTTATTATTGTTTGTTTTTACTGTTGTGGCACCCGGAGGCCCTGTTCAGGATGGCAGCCCCACCAAGTGCTGTTTGTACACAGAATAAAGGACAGTCCCTGCGCCAAAGAGCTAACAGACTAATTTGTGACAAGGTGCTAAAATGGGATGTAAAGTCAGAAGGAATTAGGGAAGGAGGATGAAGGGAATAACAACAACTTACGTTTACTCAGGTTAACTATAATCAAGTCAATTAGCCAAGTTTAGAAAGGTATTTTTTCTTTACAATACTCTGTGGCCGAATATACTTTGTGTTTAGGAAAATATTTCCTAGTATCTGTTTTAAATGTGTTTCTCTTCTCATTCATTCCATCTTGTTCTTGTATCACACTTGGTAAGTAGGAGTAGCTGATTGACCTTTCTGTGACATTGATTTTGGATTCCAGGGAGAAAAAGAACTACTCAGAGAATAAACGAGAGAGAGAGTGAGAATGTGTGTGTGTGTGTATACACACACACACACAGATATACATTGTAACCCCCACCAGCTATACCACAGGCAACATATATACCAAAAAATAAACAAACAGCCCTCTGTTCCATGCTTGAATAATGTTGTGTCTATGACAGAAATATCTGAGGGCCTCACAGACATTATTAATGAATTTAGGCTCCTGAGTATGGTGGGGAAATAATATCCTCACTTTACAGAGGAATTGGTATACAAGAGACCCCTTTTCTCCTAGGGGTGCATCCAGTGCTTTAACCACAACACCACTCATCCTCTCGATCTGCAATTCTTGATTCATGTTCCAGCTTCCAAGAATTGTGTTAGCATTTTGAAATCACTTAGCTTCTCTTTCTTTCTCCTTAAAATTATCAGCTACATTGTCTACATTGTCAGCTGGACACACACAAGCGAATATGACTTATATTATGGCTATTTTCTTGTAGTGAGGTACCTCTTCAATCTATGTTTAATGATGCTTATATGCTTCTTCCAGGTAGAACTCAGAACACTACTGAGTCTATCATCAGATATATTTTGGAATTCCATTCACGGCTTTGACAAACAAGACTGTGTCCCCAAACCAACTCTATGCAAGGTTCTTATACTATTCTTTCTTCTACGTTGTTTAACTTTGAAAAGAATATACGGCTGAAGAACAGTATGATACGCTAAAGGAAACATGGGATGTGTGTTTTGAAAAGCAATGTTTAAATGATCAGTGTAAGTTTTGAATACAATAGGTGAAATCCTTGCTTGATTGAAGTCAATGGGAATTTTGCCATTGACTTTATTTGGGCAAGGATTTCACCCAATATATGTGGTGGTTACATGCACAATTCCTTATTTTAAAACAAAATGAGAGTAGTACAAATGGCAGGCAAAAATCTGTCAGCCTACAGTCCATTAAGCCATTATTGTGATAATACGAATGAATTACTGTGATAAGGTTATTCTGGGTAGATCCTACTAATTTAAATAAGGCTGGCTAAAGTGATTTGTATATGATGAATCATATGAAGAATACTGAATTGTTTCTCCTAGCACTTGAAAATTTGTTTGTGTGTATAAACAATATTTGAGTTGACAGCCAAAGTGGCAAAGCTCATTGACCTGAGGCAATAAATATCCAAAGCCTTACCTTCTTATTGTGATTGTTAAATGAACTATGCAGTACAGAATTGATGGAAGAACTGATGTTAGCTGGGAGAAATAATCTAAAGAAATAGAATGAAATAGAATGTTACTGTCACCATCTGAAAGAACAGTAATAATACTTAGCTTTTTATATAGCACTTTTCGTCAGTAGCTCACAAAGTGCTTTACAATGGAGGAGAGCATCATTATCCCCATTTTACAGTGGAGAAATTCAGGCACAAGGAGGTGAAGTGCCTTGCCCAAGGTCTCCCTGTAGGCCAATGGCAGAGCCAGGAAGAGAACCCACATCTCACATTAATCATCATCCCCTGATTTATAACTTTTAAATTTGGTGCCAGCAGGCACACTGTGTATCACCCTGGGACAAAAACATGATGAAGATGGGTCTTTACATGCAATGAGAGTTGCAAGAATCACACTTATGAGGAGACACAATTGTCAATATATTTTAATTAAGGGACATGGGATATTTCCCATGGTACAAAGACTGTTGGGTACTCAGCTCACACTGAAAGCCAGTGGGAGTTCGATGCTTAACTCACACGTGTGCCTTTGAAAATCTGCTCCTTAATCTGAATCTTCCTCCAAAGGTTCTCCGTGTATTGTCTTTTATTCATTTTTATTCTCCCCCAAATCAAATAAAGACAAAGTGCATCCAAATAAAGGCAACCAGTATCCAATTTTCTGGAACTTGAAACATGATTTTAAGGGCCAGCTTGTGGTAGCATTAGTCATATTGGGTAGTACCTCACCCCATGTATAGTCCCAATGAAGTGAATGAGGCTATGGGTTGACTAAGTTTTACCCAATGTGACACAATCTGCCCTAAATTTACATTGCTTATCACAGGAAACTTGGGAATCTGAAGTCATCCTCTTCACCTGATTCCCCACTGCTATTCAGTATCTTAGCCAGTGTTATGGCCATGAGTTCCTGAAATATTTAAGGTTACTGAACTCAGCTTACTTTACAGAAAACACATTGGTAACATGATGATGCTTGGTAAAAGGAGCTCCAGCTGTGGGGCCATTCCTAATCATTCAGTTATTTTATGAAAGGAGATGAATGAAGGGTCATGAGAGAGAGAAACAAAAAAGCTTCCAAATAGGACTATTTTTTGCAGATCATAGGTCAAGTTTGACAGTGTCACTTTAAGAAATAACCTTGTGTGTCTGGCATAAAGGGCTTAGAAAATTATGGTGATAGGCACCATAGAAAATGCTAAGATAAACAGGCATCGTAAAAGTGTGCAAAACCTAGTCATCTGAAAGAAAGAAAATTGAGTAATTTAAAATCAGCAAAGTGAAAGCAGAGACGGATGGGAACTCTGACCAGAGGTACATATAGTTACCCTTGCAGGTTAATTTGAAGCTCCTCTTTACAATGTCTTGCTTGTAGTTTCCATGACAATGCACATTATGGTTCTGACCCTTAAAAAGGGGCCTCTTCCAGGTAACATGCAATGTCATTAGTTATTGTTTTGACTAATTTCTCACTGGCTCTGTCACCATTGTGACACCAAGGAGGTCTTTCTAAAAAGTAGGTTCTCTGAGTGTGTTACTCATAGATCAGTCTTCTGGAGGTTGAACTTGATTAATGAGCATTTTAATTTCCATAGAGCCTGGAGAAAGTGGGAGCATATGGTGCCTCCTCTCAATTTCTTCACATTTATTTGAACACCACTGCTTTTGGAATTTCACTTATACATTATGAGAAGCCCTGAAGTCCTCTCCCTGACCCTTTCTTTTTCAGTTTGGTGTACCTAGAGGAAAATCTAGAATAAGAGTAGTTTGTTTTTCATTTTACTTTACAGTAACAGCCACTGCTGAAAACCAGCAGGTACCCCTGCCAGTCTAAGCCAGTTTAGGGAGATAGAATGGCTAATGTAAACAGCCTGGACGTTTGAAAGACATGGAAAACACAATGTCTCTGTAGAAAGGAATAGACTATACCCTTTACAAGGGTTTTGGGTTTACAGAAGTTTTCATTAAGGCTTGATGTGCCCCTGGGAGGTGCTGTACAGATCAGCTGAGGTTACATTATTGAGCGGGTAGGTTCACTGAATGGAAAACGATGAGCTCTTGAATGAAGTGTTAATGGATATTTGAGACCAAAAATACACAAGATTTATTTTAGAAAAAGCCCCCCTCCTGTTTCAAAGTTTATATTCAGATGTGGGGCAAGGCAGAACTGGCAGGTGGAGGGTGTAAAACAACTGTGTTTTCGTGGTTTAAACATTATCCTGCATGGCACTGAGTCACCACAAATGCTATAAACTCATGAAACAGCCTTAGGTTTGTGTTCTCCAGAAACCTTGGAAAAATGCATTTGGGTTCTCAAATTTCAGAGCCTATGCATCTAGCTATTATCCTACAAAAATGGGTGATTTTATACTAAAAGTTGTCTAGGTGACATTTCTTTTTTGAATAATGTATTTGACTAGTTATTTATTTCAGAAGGGTTGTATAAGGGCTTGTCTACAAATGGAGTTATTCAGGGATAACTCCACATGTGGACACTCTTATTCTGGAATGAGGATGCTTTGTTCTTGTTTAGCTTAACATACTTTGAAAGTGGAGTCAAGTAAATAGGAGCAAGGCAGTCTTATTCCACAATACATGTATCCACACATGGACTTATTCCAGAATAGCTATTCCTGAATAACTCCATATGTAAACAAACCATTAGTAGTTTAAAGTGTCAGGTGTGAAATGCCTAGGTTCCCTGAAATCATGGGTTTGAACCATGGCCCCATTACCTCAGCCCTTCTGTGTTAGATAATGTGAGATTCATGCAGTGTAATGGGCATGTGACTTAGGCTCTCTCTGCTCATTATGAAAATTAAATATCCCATGGCGCTTTTCATAAGAGCAAGGGTTTCTCTCAAAACCATTGGCCAACTGCTGCCTTCCTCTCCCTACCACCAGGAGTGGTTACATGGTTCCCGTAAGAATAAATTGCCTGATCCTGAGCACCCGCAGTTATTGAAGTCAGTGGAATTGCACATGCTCAACCCCTCTCAAGATCAGGCTTAGAGTATGCAAATCCACCATCCACCAGGACGAAATTTGCTATATGTAAAATTATCATTTCTTACAAGCTGCCCTAGAGCAGCTTAATCATTCCTGTGTGTGAGGCTTGTTAATTGGAAAAAAAAATCAAACCTAGTGTTGGATAGAGCATGCAGACCCTTCCTCATGTGAGTAGCCCTTCTTGATGTTCTCAGTTTCAATAGGTAGAGTTCAGAGTAAGGGTGTCCAGGACTGAGCCCAAAGTCTTTGTAATTCCGTTTTTGCGATTCAAGTCCTGTCCATGTTTTATCCTTCTAACTCATTTAACCCTTTCCTGGCAATCTGCCTTCTCACAGTGGAAAGAACCAGATATTTTCAGCATTTTGAAGAGAGATTGTTATGATAATGTAATAATTTATGAGCATTTGAGTGATTACAACAGTTTCTTGTAACTACCTCTAAGCCACTCTGCATTTACATCTGAAAGAAAGGGAGAGATAGAAAGATTGCTTAGAGGAATGTACTACTATATTTTAATTCCTTCGCTGCCTATTTTCCCCTCAGGTTGCTCACATACTGTAATGCCGGTTAGCCTCATTGGAAATTATACCCATGTACCCAAGGAAGCATACGTTCCCTGTAGTGGTATTTTTTGGAAAAAATATTTATGAAAATGGGTTGCTATAAGGATGTTCATTGTAGTTTGGGGCTCTTTTCTCATTAGCATTACACCCTTATTACTTTTTTCATTAAAATATTTTATTCAGAATATTTTTACATAAATAATGTAAACTAACTAAATAAATAATGAAGACCAGCAGAATGTGGTCTCTTTCTCTCCTCTTTGTTTTATTCTTCTGTAAAACTGCACTATTGTATATTCTGTGAATGCATATGTTAAAAAGACAGGACAGCACACTGTGAAAGCTCCGTGTACAGATTTTGGACAATATGTTGACTATTCATTTTATGAATATCTCTGTTTTATACAGAGATGGGCCAAAGCAAAACCAGAGAACCAGAGTCCCCATATTTTGTTAAAAATCCAGAACTGAAATTAGCAACTGTTCTTTTCTCTTTAATAGGCTGGTGAAAAACATTGGAGCCAAATATCTTTTGTGTGTTTGAAATCTGATTCAAATATTGCACCTTGCATCTACTTGTAATGTTTTGTATTCAGAGGTGGAGTCACTAGCACTAGTCAACCATTTTTGAATTTTGTGTATTCACTGTGCCTGATGATATCTTCTGATGAGGGGAGTTCATAGCCATTGTAGGATCCTTCATTATTAAGCTCAGCACTGGAGACCCTATGGAAGAGTTATTGAAACTCTGCACAGTTTTTATCTTCCTGAGTGCCAGCAGACTTACAATAAACAGGAAACTTGCCTTTTGCTGTCTCATATTTGATCCAGACATTTGTAATGAAAGAGGTCAAGGGACCCAAGCAATTTTTTTACTTTCATAATTGACACAGCAAGCCCAGAGATGCCAGGGCTCAGCCCCAGCAAGCCCTGGCACAAATTAAGCACTGGATCCAGAAAGTGCAAAGTAAAGATCTTGTTCACTTAGCAGAACCAAAATTCAGTCCCGGGCACTGGGAAGTAGACACTTTGCCACAATAATTAATTATGGCTTGTGCTGAATACAATACAGTAATTTGGTTCGAGAGGGCAGTTGTCATGTTCATATTGGCACTGTTCATATTGGCACTAACTCAAGTTCGTTAAAATACTTTTAATGGAAAACATATTTTACTAATGAGCTTTTTCCATTGGGACATCGTTCTCTATTGTGTGAAAAATTGTCCAGAAAACTAGTCAACAAGGGACCGCAATTGCACTTACATTTTCCTCCCTCCCTGTTCTTGCTACAGAGCATGACTGGTCCATTTAATGTGTGAACTTTAGAAAACAAAAATTATCTTGCTTTAATGCAATATCTCTGAATTGCAGAAGGCTGGAGTAATTACTGCAATGCCTGCTTATGTTCTGAATTTCCTTTCATTTTGCTAAAATTAACTGAGATTTGTATAGGGAGAGATGGCAGTGGGATGAATACAAACTGTCTTTTGCTAAATCAAATGTATGTGCACAAATTACTTTAAAATATTTTTAAATTAAATGTGAAACTAGAAGGAGACAAGTCACATCATGTTCCCCATGGGTTGAATTCTCCCCATCATGATGGCCAGCAGGAGGTCTATGCAGTGCTAAATTCATGTCCTCAAAATAGGGTTAAAATGGATCTTGGTGCATTAGGCCTTTTGCTATCTCTCAGTGCATGGATGATTTTTACCTTATGTGATCTGAAATTGAGACACAAATGGCAAAAGAACTGTTTCTGGATTGTTGGGACAATGTGCATGCTAATACATAAAACCCAGTTGCTGAAGATCATCAGTTGGTTCAAGAGTACAGTTATCATTCTTAGTTAGTCTGTCAATATTGGCAGTAGATCAAGTTTGTAAAAACGAGTTTCATGGAAAACCTATTTTAGTAATGAGAATCTGCCATTGGGACATCATTCTCTGTTGTTGATGATCAGCTTTTCTTTAATCTTTAATCTTAAAAGAATAAACCATCTCAGGAGATACCACCATTAATAATACAATAATGGAGGTGTTCTTGCTAAATATTTAGCATTCTGGAATCATTTCTGGATCTAAATAAGTGATCCCTTAGAACACCATTAGCACAAAGGAAAAAGTGATGGGATGAACATGGCATTGAACCTTGGCACCAGATCTTCCTACTTCAGGTCAGAGTTCACAGCTCAAGCCAATCTCTGCTCAGCTTTAACTATCATAGTGCTAACATCTCACTATAGCAAGCAGAATCAAGACACCCAGCAAATTCACTTCAGGATTTCATTTCAGGAGTGTTTAAGTCCAGAGTTTAGGTGATGGAGTTACTTCGAAGAACAGCAGACTTTTGTTTGTTTAAAAAAAAATGTGTATGCTACAGCGGCTTATTATCGCCTAGGCCGGCAAATTTGCAGGGACGGCAAATTTATAATAGCAGCATTTTTGTAATCTTGGCATCAGTGACGCCGTGATTCTGCCAATCACAGCACGTATTGAAACCACCAATGATGGTGCGACACCATTTAGTAAACATACTCACGAGAATCCCAAACGTTAATAATATGACCGGAAGGAAGAAATTAAGCAGTTCTCAGTTAAAAAACAAACAAACAAACAAAAAAAGGCTATACAAAAGAAAGAAAGGGAAAATGAAATGATAGCAAAAATGCGCAAATAGATTCCTTTGTTATATCAGTTAGTGCTGACAGTGAGACAGAAAAAATAGTTGAAAGTAGTAGTGAAGTAAAAAGTGAAAATATTGGTGTTGATATTGAAAATATTGATGTGATTAAAGTACATATTGAAACTAACTAAGAAATTTCGGCTGCGGTTAGTGTTGAAGAAAATACTCCAAATACTAGCATATCAGAGACTACCAGGAATCATGCTGATCTGGATATCTTTGACAATACTGCAGAGATTTGCGAATCACATCAATCAGAAATTCAATCTGACACTGAAATATCTACCATAAGTGACGACCCGGCCCAACGGATATTGAATGATGCTACAATTGAGTATTTATCAAAGCATGGTATTAAACAAAATATCGATAGTGATTTTACTAACTCAGAAAGACAATATACTGATAAAATGTGTGTTCTAACAAAAAATGTGTTTGAACGACATCTTTTAAACAGTGAAGTAAAGCCACGGCAATATCTTCTATATTAGGAGAACAAAGGAACCATGTTTTGTGCCCCATGTCGATTATTCGGAGGGATCTCTAGTCTGGTGACGAGTGGATACCATGATTGGAAACACATATCAGCTCGACTACGTGAACATGAAAATTCGACTGAACATAAAACATGTGTACTGACAATGGTGAGGAGAGGCGAGATATCTGGAAGAATTTATACGAATTTAAAATTTCAAATGGAAGAAGATATTATTTATTGGAGAAATGTGTTGAAGAGGATTGTAGCAGTGGTAAAGAAACTTTCAAGCAGAGGACTTGCATTTAGAGGTAAGGTAGAAAAATGTGGATCACCTTATAATGGCAATTACATGATGGCCCTTGAGCTTGTCACAGAATTCGATCCATTTTTAGCAAATCACATTGCACGTTACGGAAATGAAGGTTGAGGTAACATATCTTATCTTTCATCCTATACATGTAATGAATTTATAGAACTGATGGCTTCAAATGTGATCTCAAATATTATTAAAGAAGTAAAGAGGCCAAATATTTCTCGATAAGCATTGAGTCAACTCCCGACATATCTCATGTTGATCAATTGGCTTTTATACTGTGATATGTAAATGATGATGGCATACCAGTAGAGAGGTTTCTTTGTTTTTTACCAAATACTGGCCACAAATCAGAACAGTTAGCTGATGCTCTACTTTCAACTTTTGAATTGTTATGGATTAGATATCGCAAACTGCTGTGGCCAGTCGTACGACAATGCCACTAACATGTCTGGTGTATATCGCGGGTTGTAAGCAAGAATAAAGAATATAAATCCTTATGCTGTGTTTGTGCCTTGCTCTGCGCATTCTTTAAACCTGGTTGGAGTATGTGCAGCAGAAAGTTGTCAAGAAGCACGTTCATTTTTCTTAACTGTCCAACATCTTTATTTTTTTCTTTTCATTTTTTTCTGCCTCTACTCACCAGTGGGAGATTTTACTATCTGATTTGAAGCCAGGCAGTAAAATAACAAAAAGACTTTCTGAGACTCGATGGTCGTCTCGAGTGGAAGCTTGTCATAATTTGAGTGAAAACTGGAATGCTATAATTAAAGCCTTAAATACAATAAAGGAAGATGCTACTGAGAAACCTGTTACATGTAATGAAGCTGCAGGCCTGCAGCGAAAACTCGATCGACTTAAGGCAGCTTTTATGGCTGTATTTTGGAGCTCTCTCTTGGATTGATTTCATATAACTAGCCAAAAACTGCAAAATGTTAATATTGATATACAGACAGTTGTAGAACTCTACAACTCACTAATAGGATACATTAACTCTGTACAGGGCTTGTTTGATATGTACAAAGAGAAAGCCAAAGAAAAATCTGAAACTGATACGAATTTGACACAAGGCAAAAAGAAAGCGTAAACTTCAATCTGATGACACGCAAAGGTGAAGTGGAAATGTGTGGTAGAGATAAATTTAAAGTAGATACCTTTTAAACAATACTAGACCTTGTATGCTCTGAATTAAAATGCAGAAATAATGCGTATCAAGAAATTTATGGCAGATTTCAGTTTCTCTCTAACATTCCCAATACTTCAACAACAGATATAACAGTTCACGCTAAAAAATTACAGCTATGCTACCAAGGAGATTTAGAAGAATCATTCATGAATGAGTGTCTTCCTTTTTTATCGTATTTGGAAGGTGTTGAAATTCCTGAAAAGTGAAAAGAAGTCAATTTTAAGATATTGCAGCCTTCTTCGAAATCAAAACATTCATTCAGTATATCCAAATATTGATATTGCCTTCCGAATGTTTGCACACCTGCTACAAACTGTTCAGTAGAACGATCATTTTCGGCATTAAAAAGGGTGAAAAACTATTTGAGGGCTAATCTCAGTGAAGAAAAATTAAACTCCCTTTCTCTCCTGACAATTGAAAAGGATCTAACAACTTCTCTGGATTATACAGAATTAATTAATAAATTTTCCGCTCAAAGGTGTAGGCGAAAACAAATGTAACTACTTACTACTCACATACTTTTATAGTATCTACATAAAATAAAAAATAAACATTTGATATACACTGTACCGCAGCTTGAATGTGGGGTTTTGGATCCATGCGCGGTCCCGCACTATAAGCAAAATCATGCTATACAGACGCATGTTCAAGTGAGGGTCTGCTGTACTTGTAATTTTATTTATAATAAAACTTGTAAATGTTCAATTATTTTAATGATATTTAGATTCATTTTAGTTCAAACAAATTTGTAAAAAAGCTAAAACTAGTTCATATGGGGCCAGGGGCAAAAATTATTTCAGGGCCTAGGGGCGGGAAAATCATTAATCCGCCACTGGTATGCTATATTTACAGATGTTAAGGAGCCTTCTCCTTTTGCTATACCGCTGCATCCTGGGGAATTTCTCATTAGGCTGTTTAGCCAAAGATTCTGACGAACTAATAAGCACCAGCAATAATCATACTATGGGAAGTCTATTGATTTCTTTTCCTTTTTATTAATTCCTCATAGACAGTTGTTTAATGCTGTAATTTGTGCACTTAAAGGGGAATTTTAGTGGTTCAATGTCAATTTAATTATCTCACTCATTCACTGAATAGTAATTTTGTGTTAGCTTGACCATAGCTTCCTTTAAGCTGCTGCATTTGGAAATATAATCAGATCTTTCTGTGCCTGTGCTCCCCAGATAACTCTCATAAACATACACATATGCAATTTTTTTCCGCCAGGCCTCCACACAGCTTTAAGGGCTTGTTTATTTTGGCATCTGATTCAACACCAAATCCTGCTAGACTTACACAGTTAGTCTGTAAGGTGAGCAGGATGTGGGCATAGATCTTGGCACTAGAGATGTAGATATTAATCTGCATGAAGCAAATAAGCAATGAGTGACCTCACTTTCCAGAACCCATCATGTCATCTGCTGATTTATATGTCTGAGTATGGACAGGATTAAGAAGCTTTCACATGGTGTGGATCTAATTCATATATTTACAAACAGTTTTTAAGCTGTCAAATCTCTGCTTTAAAATATTTATGCAGCTGACTGTAGATTGTTGGATTTAGGACATACTGTGTTTTCTTTCCTCTGTCCAACACATCAGATTATCTGAGTTAATACATATCTCATTAGGGCAATGAGAAGGGCTACAGTGAATTCTGATTCCTCCTAGGGGGAGGTTCATGTCTTAACCATGTTTGCCACAATAATCTATTAGCTTCAAAACATTGCTCCAAACAGGGTCAATAACTATAGATCAACCTGTTCCCTATAGGAGGCAGGAATTTTTATAAATTTGGATTCAGTAACACTGATGTAGTCATTATGAATTTATGCATTGAGTCCTTGCAGGGTTGGGAGGAAATAATGTCTCTGAGAGTGTCTGTCCCCCCCCCTATCAGTAGAACCCATTTTCATAGCGCCAAGGGAAAAAGAAAGCATGCCATGCAATTCACTACCTTCGCATAAGTCTGGATGGAAAATAGTGCGGCTTTTAAAACTGCAGCTTTCAGTGGAAGGCCTGGTCTGAACTCCAAGTCTTGGTTTGTTGTGTTCTCTCTGGACGTTCTCAGCCCTTAGAGCCTTAGAAAGGGAGTCCTTTGCAGCATTCCAGAGGGAACTTTCCAGTCAATTAAAGAGCAGTAGGAGAGGCCCCAAAGAGAGTTCTGTCTAGTCCTTCCTGAAAGACGATGAGATGACTAGAGCTGGTTGAACATTTTTTTGACAGAACATTTTTCCATTGGAAAGTGCAGTTTCATCAAAATCTAAATGTCAGTTTAGGAACATGTCAATTTTGGTGACATTTTCTACTGGAAAACTTCAGAACAATTTGTTTCAACTTTCTTGTTGTATTTTGATAATGTTGAAATGTTTCATGTCAGCTTTATTACTTTGTTTAATTTTATTTTGACTTTTATATTATATGTAACATTAATGTTATATTTATGTATTATATTTTACATTTATATTAAATGTTTTCATATTATCTATATGAACCAATTTGATGCTTCAAAATCTAAATCTTTTTGGAATTTGCATTTCATGGAAAATGTAAAAATTCTGACTTTTCATCCTAATTTGGGACTTTTTTTTCCCCAAAGTATTGTAATTTCTTGCTGGATGAAAATTGTACTTTTTCATCAGCTGTGATAGTGACCATTGCATGAGGTCTCACGGGTGGGGAAGAAATGGGGAGATCCTCAGTGGCACAGCAGCCATTCAGAAATGGCTACTCTCCCAGGATACAAAATCTTGGTGATTTCTCAGTCACGTTATTATTGAGGTAGCTGGTGAGATTTTTGGCTTAGGGAGGTGTGAAAGGTGAAGTGCAATTCATAATAAAAGGCCTCATGCTGAAAGTTCCCAAACTTTACTGGGTTTATTTGAGCCTAGTAAAAAGTATAGCCGGTCTGTATCGCTGCCAATGGCTTGGAGCTAGTTTCCTTCTGAGAAAGAAGTAGAAAAGAAGAGCTGAGAAAGAATGAGTTGGAGAAATGGTAAAAACTTCCCAGAAATATACATTTGTGCTGAAAGGCCTCTGAATACTCAGCTACCCTTTGGCAATGTGCTGCAAGACAAAACAGAATGAATGGGGCTCAGTTTTTCTCTTGCCATCTTTACTTTGGCAGAGAACACTGCAGAAGATAGTAAATTGCTTCTTGATTTGATTTGAAAAAATCGGATACTTTACACCAGCAATTAGTTTCTCATTATTGTAGTCCTACTTAACATCTAGATTTCAGAGATTTCTATATACAGCATCCTTTATTTTAGAAACTGGGAGATAACAGGGGTATCTATTACAGTTGAATAATTTTTTTTAAAGTTAGACTAAAGTTCATATATTTGCCTGGGATTTAAGATCTCGGCATTTGAAATGAATCAGGAATATCTGGTCTTGTTAAAACCTAACCACATTTTTTTGTGAATTTTAATGAAACACACCTTACAACTGGTTACTTATTTGTAAAAGATGCAAGCCATATTTCTTTAAAAATTATTTTCACAGTCCAGTCCACAGTCCACAGCTGCAAATGCTCCTCTACCATGTTACCGATATTTTCACTTTAATTGATTAGTGCTGCAGTGTTTGAATTTCACACTCTTCAAGGGGGATGTTTATTTACAAACAGATATTTTTCATTTGCAATCTTTTAAAATGTAGAAACATTTCTCTTGGTGATACCCTGTATAAATGCTTCTTTTTATTAAACTTTAGTTTGGACCAAATTTAAATTGACAATATTGTTTTAAGTCCATAAAAAACCTTTAGTCCACCAGTCCACAAAATGATCAATAATAAGAATGATTTTCAACCACAGTTCTTAAAAACAATTGCTCTTTAAACATTCAGGTAGCATCTGTATGTGAACTGCATGGATTGCAAATGAAATTTACCTGTAGTAATTAAAATAAGGTTTTATAATTAGTTCCTTTTAAATTATTCCAAGTGAAATTAAATAGAGCTACCTTGTAAAATAATGTCTGTCCTAAATGGTTTTTGAGCACAAATGCATTCCCTCCCTTATTTCATAGCAGTCGTTAAATTATTACAAGATCTGTGGGATATTTTCCATTAAGGTTTCGTAGGAAGTATAGAATGCAACTTTTTTCTATCTTTTTTTCCTTCTTGTAAAAAAGATAGAGAAGATCTTTCAGCACTGCGTGTCTGTAGGAGGTCTGCATCCAGGCCTTACTAAGGCCATCAGCTTTTGTCTTTCACAGAACAGGAGACAGTTTTCTGTCTTCACTATCTGACAAAATTACAGACATCTTCCTCGGGGGGCGGGCAGGGGCGGAGGGAGAAGAGAATCATGTCCACAAACACAAACTGTAAAGATCCTCTTTTCATGTTGTTGTTGTTGTCCACGTTGTCATTAATTACAACACAAAGCTTCTGATTGGGGGAATGTTATATCAGAGATGCCAAACGGTCAGCAGAACACTAAACTCTGCAAAATGATATGCCTCATGAATTTATTGCTGGGCAAAGATGCTGTCGTGAGAGCCTTGGAGATTGAAGTCCCTGTTTTATCCACACAAAAGGCTTATCACCAGCAGAAAGAACGCGGAAAATGTGCCTTCACCTCTGCGAGAGAACACGACCACTTTGACAGGAGAGAGTGGTTCAGTCTCCAGGCCTATTTATCCCTTCTCCTCTCTGCTGACTTCCAACCAGAGTGAAATTAGTGCCCGGAACCATGGTACTTTTTGTGATAGGGACCAATCCACTAGGAACCGGACTAGGGCTACCAAATCCATTTTCCACAGGTCACCAAACAGCCATCAGATTGTAAATGATATTCCAGAAAAGATACTTGCTTTTAATGTTCACTCTTAAATTGTTAAGCTTTTTAGGATAAGGACCATCTTTTTTGTTCAGTGTTTGCACAGTGCCTGGAACAATGGGGTCCTGATCCAGGACTGGGTCTCCCAAGTGCTACCACAATACAAATACAATACAAATAATTCAGTTAACCTTTTATGATGTTAATGTCAAATGAACATAGACCAGATCTAAAATATTTTAAACCTAAAGTCAAACGACAGTGTTTATTTGTTGCCACAGTTCATTTGATCTTATATAAAACCAAAACTCCCACTGGGATTTTTTTTTTTTAACAAATCAGTGTAAAAGTTTCAATTATTTTAATAAATCTGGGCAGGGCTGCTTGAATATTTCATCATTGGGATTGGTAGGAGTGAAAGAGGGAGGAAAAGAAACTAAGTGAATAAATTCTGCTTCCTCTTTTCTTCTCCTTGGCCAAATCTAGTTTTTAACGTGCTTTTAAGTTTTTCCTATTGTCATTGCCAGGCTGGCTGAGTTAGCTCTTCTGAAAACTGTGCTCTTCCCGACAGAAGAATCTGAGCCTAATTCACCCCTGAAATAACAGCACTGAAGTCAAAGGAGTTACACTAAAGATGAATTTGGCCCAGTGTTTCCAAAATGTCCATTCAGCTCAGTATGGGAACAGCAGAGGTAGGAAGCCATTAAAATCTGGTGTTACTACAGTGCATGATTGTTATTAATCACTTATATGGTGGTAGAGTTTAGAAGCCTCAGCTCAGTTGGGCCCCCTTTATGTTACACTCTCTTCAGATACAGTATGTGACAGTCCCTGCCCCAAAGAGCTTGCAGTCTAAAAAACTAAGGGAATCAGAATGGACAGAAAATAGTCATTTATCTTCTTAAAATTTGAGATGTTAATATCAGAGGGGTCCAGGGATGCTCCTGGAAGGCATGACAAGTTTGAGTCTTCAACGGTTTTTTTTTATTGGGGTGCACGGCTCCTCTGTGTTTTCATCACTTCATAAGTTCTTTCACCCATCATGTTTGTTAGCTCTTCTGTTACTTGAAGTCTTTACTTCTCACTCCCTATGTGCAGATATCACATCCCCAAGGGATGCTCATTAGAGAAAACATTTTCTTTAGCTGATGCCTCTTTTCAAGCTGTCAAAGTACATGCAAATGAAATAAATCAGATAGCTTCCAGGGGATGGTAATGTATCAACCTTCAAAAGACAGAGAAGATCAACCAGGAAGTTGTACACCCATTAAATTGTCTTTTATATAATGTGCAGGAAATGAACAGTAAAATTAGAAGGAAGATGATACTGTAAAGGACAGGTAACCAGTTACCATCAATAAACAGAAGATGCTGCTGTGATGTGATATGACTTTTCCTTGCAGTTAAGGCACAGATTGGAGTTTTTGCCTCTGGACGGTACCAGTTCATGTTACATTTGAGGCACCTGGAGAAAAGATGGTCCCTTCTACTGGAAGAGAAATGACTCTCCGAAGTTGGGAAGCACTTCCACAAGTTGTTTTCAGGCCCTCCTCTGCCTCCACTGGAGCATTGGCCTTGAGCCACTGCGGCCTTCCATTGCAGGCCAGGGAGCAGTGCCCAAAGTCAATGTCCAGATCATCCAGTGTTTGCTTTTAAAAATGCATTTTCAATATAAATACTAAAGAATACATGTCATATTTAGTAATTATTATTATATTAGCATTCATGAAGCACCCATCACTGTAATGTCTGGGTACTATTTAACATTTAGGCTTAATAGCAAATTACATTTCCTAAACGTGAGAAGGTGCACTCTGTGATCCGCTGTGGCCACAAACAACTGGTATTTAATTTTAGAGATGGAAAAGCCTAAAAATACTTATTAATCAAAAATGTTTATAAAATGCAAGGGGGATACAAATGCATTCTTTCATGAAACTCCTTGGAACCCTCCTTCAAGGTTTTGCTTGTTTCTAAGTGGTGGTGCACTAAATAATTTTGTCCCATTTAATAACAGTCCATAAAAAATCATTTTTCTTCTCTCTGCTTTGCCAGTTAAAGCCTCACTTGAACTCCAACAATGTGGCTTTTTCTACAGTCAGCTTCCACCATGATGGAAGACACATAAGAACAGAGACAGATAGATTAGATAGAAACTGCAATCTAAGGGCCTGATCCGATTCCTGCTGAAGTCCATGGACAGCCTTCAACTGACTTCATTGGACAGCTGACTGATGCCTAAAAGAAATGTAACTTTTCGAGCACACATATGCATAATTTTGCATGTTAAAATTGATTAATGGCAGCTTTCTCCAAAATGTGAGATAATGTTCTTGGGTGAAAATGATCTGTCCCTCACATTCTTGTGCAATAGTGAACAACAGCAGTCACTTGTGGAGTTATAAATTAGTGCAAGAAAATAGGTATACAATTGTTACTTTTGAAAATCTTGCCCTGTGGTACTTTACACCACATTCTGTACATTTTACAGAGAGTGGAGTTAAAACTGTTTTCAACCTCCAGCTAGAAAGAGTTTCATAACTACTCAAGTCAGAAAACTGAAGGCAGTCAACAGATGTGTAC